CAATGGAAGTATCGACTCCTACTTCTTTCCCTTCACGGCTGTTGGCTTCCTTCAATCGCTACTTCAATGTCAATTCGAGTCGCCTCCGCCCCTTTCTGTCGCGTCCTTTGCCCGAGTATGACGACTTTCCCACGCTCTTGGCTCTGCGATCCGCACGCCAGGCGCAACACAAATCACAACGATGCGCAACTCGTCCTCGACTCAATTGGAACTTCCTGTTCAGTCTGTCTGTCGTCGCCAGCAAAGTTCCCCTGCGTTGAACCACACGTCGCGAAAACCACGTTGCGCGATCAACCTCGGCACTTCGCGTCGTATCCTCGTAAACCCGCTGAACGTAAAATCGGTGCCAAGCCCCTTTTTCGCACAGTCCCTTACCGCTCTTCCTTACTGCAAATCTTATGCCGTGCCGTCCGCAACAAAAATGCTCGCACTTGCAAGCGCTCGTACAACAATAACGGTTCCGCGTACAGACGTCGTGTAACAGGGGAAAAAGGAATAGAGTTGGATGATGATGCTTACAACTACGTAGCCGTCCTCGGGAGTCCTACCATGTCTACGCCTGATCCGCACTGCGCCGCAGCCAGCAGCAAGTAGGCTGCCTTGCTGAGGGGCGAGGTAAGCGTTAAGGGTTGCCCCGCATCTGCAGCCTTGCGTCGCTAGCTTTTTAGCCTCGTGTTGTGATTGGTGCCCGGGCAGAAAGCGTGCCTGTGGCTGGTCGAGAGTATGAGATGTGGAGATTGGAGTTACGATGCGAGAGGAAGGTGAGTACCTAATGGAATGAGATGATTCGTGTGGTGCGATGGAAGATTTGGGTAATAGAGCTGTTATGGTGCGATATTCATTCCAGAACTATTGCTTCTTCCTAACGCGGAAGTGTGCTGCTGGCTTCATGAGGTACATGACTGCGAGAAAATAAGAGGTCTAAAAGTAACAGACAACCACCATCTACACTTTCTATGCGACAAACAACTTCAAGAAGCCAGGCTGCAGTATGAGAGGTCGCAAGGCGCTACGACTGGAAGTCCAAGAGTACAGAACACCGACAAAATGCACGCTAAACTATCAATTCATCCACCACATTTGCGCGACGTATGCCATGTCAGTAGAGATAATCAAGCGCCAGGCCCATGATTCTCAAAGCTAACAGCCCTTGCACGCATCGGTTGCTGCAATCCAGCGTCACCATATCCCCTCCCTTCATAATCATTTTCAGTCATAACACCCAAGCTCTTCCAAGTAGCCTTTTCTCTCAGGTCACCATTCTGGTGATTGTTATCATACAAGCTGGGTGTACTCGCTCGCTGAACCGTGATACCAATGCCTAGCCCTTGATTCCTGGGTAGAGCACTGGTAGGCGTGTTTTCGTACGAGAAGTCAGCCGTGTTGGCCCTGCCGCGGCCATGCCCTTCGTGATTACCTTCGTCTTGGAGTGTGGCTTCACTGTCAACCGCTGGGCCGGGACTGTGACTTAGCATTCTAGCCTTGCCGTTTGATGGACCTGTGACAAAGCCGCGGGGCTGAGGCGGCGAGTCTGCGAATGGTGTGTACGCGGTTTGAACTCTGTTCAAAGGAGGTGTTGGTGTGTGGCTTCGGCTGCGAGGCGCGCCTTTGGGTGTGCCGCCAGGGCTTGGTGCGCGGCTGGGGTGTTTTGATATGAGACCACCAGTTTCGTTGTCGTCGCTGTCGTTGTTCAGGGTCCTGTTACCCCATGAGATATCGCGGTTGTGCGAGTGACGTGGATGGCGGCTCGTGTATTGTGCGACGACAAGTAAAATGTTATCAAAAAACAGTACTGGCAAAGAAGTCAGCATATGATCTCAGTCTCTCGATAACAAATGTGGAGGACATTTACCTGTAGCAAAGAACAGCACCACTATGGGAATCATCCAATGACTCCCCTTGAATTTGAAACCACTGGTGGTCTTGTCCGCAATGACGACAGAGATTCCCAGGATGATAAGCGTAAAGCCGACAACAACTCTGTTGATGATCTCGCCGAACTCATACTTCGTCTTGTGAATCTTGTTGAACCAGTACATGATCGCAAGCACCAACAGCAGACAGCCTGCGCCGATGAAGAACTGCATGGTAGTGGTGTTGAAGACATCGGAAACAGCATCTAGCTTGTTCCGCGGACTAGCTGTAGTCGCGGCAACGGCGTTGAGCTTCGCAAGAGAGTCATAATGTGCCTCGTACACGAAGACTTGCGCCCTGTCGAACATGTGACGGACAACGTTGCCGGTTCGATTGTTCCATTCGTTTGATTTGAAGCCGTACATTGCGGTGTAATTCTCAATCGCAGTGAAGTTCGTGTTCCAGTTGTATGTAGTGTTCCAGGCTTTGCTCTTGAATCTCCCGTTGATAGCGTTCATGCTCTGATTGAGGTAGTCGATGTAGCTGTCGGTGTCGGAGTAGCCATTGGCTGGGTCGTAGTAGTTCTCGGGTTTGAACGACCAAATACACTTAAGAGCTTGCACGGCTGAGTTCCACACGATGAGAGAGGTGTTGCCTTCGACGCAGAGGAGAATTGCTGAATGCAATGGATAGTGTAGTAGAGCCCATACTTGCTGACGCACGGTTCCGAAACGATCATGGGAAAGCTGATCGAAGTACAGCATCCAGAGAAGATACTAAAGGCCCAATTAGCGCTGTCTTTGAGTTGTTAGGTTCTTGTCTGCATACCAAGAGAAGAATGGCCGCGATGACAGTTCCAATCTCACTCATGTTGTTGCTCGTTTGGCTTTTGGTAATACATGCCACGCTCTTGACCATTCCGATGATACCCTCCCCAATGATGATGAGTGTAAGGAGTTGCAGCCGCTCCGCTAGATGAGTGTACTTGAAACTGATGATGCGCCAAATCATGGCGATGAGAAAGATGAGAAGACCTTCAATGATGGATATCATGACCCTACGCATTCTGTTAGTCTAGAAACCGAACGCGGAGTACACTACATACCATGCGAGTTGTTCCTCAAGACCAACACGGCCCTTGGGAAATACAACCATGGTAACGGCATAGCATATCGCTGCAGCAGCATGTACACCTGCACTGAGCCCTAACGGAATCAATGTCTGGCGGAACATGCGACCTTGCCACATAACTACGGCGTATTGAACAGCGATTGCGATTCTGCCGATGACGAGCACGATAGCAAAATTCCGGTAGGATTTCTCGACACCGCTGGTGCTGTACTTGTCGAAAACGGGGCCGGCATACACAAAGCCTGTGAAGATGCCGAACTGTATGGCTTTGTGAAAACGGTTCCAGACGCAGTCGATGCTGAAGCGCACGTCGAAAAGTGTGACGCTCAGCCACGTAAACCACATAAGCGTGAACAGCTTGATGTAGTTGATGAGTGCTAGTAGTCTATTAGCTAGTGTATCCAAGATGTGAGAGCTGTACATACATTCTGCATCGGTATGCTGATGCATAGCTGTAAAGTACGCAAGATTGGCAACAAAGAAGAGATCGTAGAAGAGCTCGATCGTACTGGCTTCGGTGTGTTGTTTGTAAACGATGATATTTCCGCGACTTGTCCTGCCATTCCCAGCAAATGTAGCCGTGTCGTTCGAACTGTCGAGCGTGCTTGTGTGGGTGTTGACCTTCTCCAAATCTGAAGAGTTACCCGACACTACTTCGAGGACATCTTCGTTGATCGGACTTGCAAGTAGGGGCAGATAAGTCCTGTCTTTCCCATGCGCTGCGTGAGTACTGTTGTGACTGCCGGTAGTCTTCCGTCGTAAACTGAAATAACGTGCAAGATCCATGATGAAACAAATGGAAGGAACTGATGATCGTGGGTGGTGGTACGACTGGATTGATGAGAGAGCTGAGCAACAAGGCAGCTACAATACCTGAACATATATACAAGACGCCAGCTACGAGGAAGCTGCTTCGTGACGGTGAAACATCTGGTCAGATCGCGTCGGTCCGTAATCGACGACGAGTATCAGTAAGGCCATCGCTGTATGTGATAAGCCTTCGCCCCGTAACATGGCCAATTTAAGAGTAGCATGGCTGTGGTAGAAAGCTTAAGTGAGCCATCTGTACCGAACGATCGTTTAGATCTGTGTATCTGGGGGGCCGTTAGGTCCTAGTATCACGCTTCTAGAAACAATACCAGTGGGGCGCAGGCAACGGAAACCGCGTTGTGTCAACGGAGAGGCTTGCATAAGAGCGAATGCATGCCAGGAGAGGTTGTGTGATCCGAAGAGTATTCTTGAAGCTTGCACTACGGAGGCGTCGTTAGCTGTTGGCAAGGAAGCGCCGTCTGCCGTGAGCCTTGCAGATCTGCTGCATGGTGGTTGTTGCACGATACACCTCTGTGTATCGGAGATCGGTGAAGCCAACCATGGCGTCGGTGTGAACGGTGAAGGAGCATTGAGCCGTGCCGATCTGCCAGGATGACTGCCAATGTCGGACGTACCAGCATGCGCCGCCAAGCTTTCAAATAAGCTCAGAGTGCACAAGTCTTCGGTCTCGCAAGATGCTGCGGACCAGGCTGAGCATTCGTTCATTCGCCGAATACTATCCCTACTTGGAGCCTGCTGACATTTGCCAAGATGGTGCACATGTTGCTGTAGCATGCCAAGCCCTTCAGCTGGCTGGTGAGGTCTCAATTTGGAAGACTATGCCAGCGCAAGTGCCGGAAAGAGCGAATGAGATGCGAACAGCGAACCACGCCCTTCCAGACTAGTACACGCACACGCGCCTACCGTTCCATGTGGTTACACAGATGAAGGTAAAGGTTGTAGAGGTTAACAGTGTTCGGTTCGGCGATTACTAGCAAGCCGCGTCCTAAAATGCCTGCACAGTTTCAGCACATTTGAATCATTAGATTTCTTCTCCCCAAAGATATGCATATCCGCAGCTCAGTGACCAAAAGAGGAGCTTTGCCACTGAATTGGCTATTTCGAGAAGATGATCGGCAGGTGTTCGTGATCGAATTGAAAACGTCGCGAAGCCCTTGCTGGAAAGATTATGGCGTCCACGGTTGCTATCTTCGTGAAGGTTCAACATATTCACTGGCTCCTTCTTCAAAGTCCTCATCTGGTGAGCTCTCATCGTCGTCTTCGTCTTCGTCTTGGGTGGCCTCGTAATCGTCGTCTAGCTCGTCATCGTCATCATCCGGAACGGGTGCACTTGGAGGTGGATGCCTGGACCGTAACACGCGACCGGTGCTGTTGGCTGCAGCATCAAGTCTGTTCACTTTGGCTCTCACTCTACCCTGTCTGCCTTCCCGTTCAAAGTTGAGGGGCCATTCCAGCTCGAGAGCCTGCTGCCGGGTGCCAGCATTATCCATAATCCAATTATACGGCTGCTTGAGTACGATCTCGGTACGAATGACGAAGGTTCCCCAGCCTCGAGCTTCGTACTCATAAGGTGGTTTTCGGATAATGACGTGGGATCGTCGGAATGTAGGATGCTGTTGTGTGTTAGCGCTGAACTAGAAGGAACGTGAGATAGGAATTTGAACCATACCAGATAAATATGCACTTCCTTAATCAAATCCGGCCTCGACGTGCGCACAAAGAACGTCCAATCATGCTCGTTATCGTCACCAGCATTCCTAATAAGCCTATGCTTATTCCCTATGAGCATCATAACGCCCTCGAAGCCATCACGTCCGATACGTGACCCCCTCTCCTCTTCCTCTTCAACGCGCCTTTCAGCATACGTGATAGGATATTTCTGTTCTAACTGTCTTGCCAACGCGTTATCCGGAGTTGCGGCAGTACGGGTCCTGCACATGGGACAGTTGCACTCGAGGTCGTACGTTGGATCGTAGTTCGGATCGAAGTCTTCGAGGTTCACGTCCCAGCTGGTGGGTTCGATGCTGTGCGTGTTGGAGGCGTCGGACCACTGTGCCATGCAGGACGCGCATAGCAGGTGGTTGCACTGGGTTTTCACGGGCGTGAAGAGGAGGAGCTGACATATCTGCAATCTATCAGCGAAGATACGCGTATTCGCGTGTGGTGCTTACAGGGCAGAGGTCATCGTGCGCGACTTGTTCCGGGTTGGATGGTGTTGCTGCCTCAGCCATGATGATGCGACGAGGGGAGGAAGAAGAAAAGGAAGGTCAAGTGATTCCAGTAGGAGGGCAGGCTTTAGCTGCTGTCCCTTGGTGTGTTCTCGGCATGGCTCGCGTTGTGATGTTGTTATCGTCATTGGTTAAGGCGTCCTCCAGGCATCAGTCCGCGCCGCACGAATTAAGGCGGGGAGGTACGTCACGTGATCACGCGACAAAGTTGACCGCCGATTTCAACACACACTTCCATTTCGCGCAACAGACGACTGACTTCATTAAACGATTCTCGCTGCGATGCCCTCCCCTTCCAATGAGATGTACTTTCCCAACATGAACCCCGCTCCGACCCTCCTATACCTCTTCTCGCCCCTCCCCGTCGTCCCCTGCATCGCTGTGACAAGCAAGACGTAGTATCGCCTCAGCAGATTCGAGCTTCCGCCCTTCATCTTCGCGACAATGACACACTGAGTGACTTGGCCGTCGCTCGCGCTTGTCCTCTCAGCATCATACGTTATCTTGACCTCCTCTGGCAATCTCCCCGCTACTTTGAAGTCGCGGACCCGAGCTATGATGGCGATCTCGTCCTCTTGGGGACCTGTATCTGTTATGGAGTGTTTGTTGCTACCACGAGTCCAAGGCGGGATTATCTCGGTGCGCTCCCAGTCTGCTTGATCGAAAGGCGGATCGATGTAGTCTATGCCACCTCGGTACGCCATCCAGGACCAACTTGGGACTCTCACCTTGCGCGCTGGTGGAAACTCAATCGTGGGCATGTTCGGAAGATCCCCGTTTTCTTCGCCGCGTTGCCACAAGAGACTCCGATGGAAGAGTCCGCCATCTTCTTTGTCGCCATCGTCAAAGATGCCAAACGCTCCTTTTGTGTTGAAAGCACTTTGTAGACGCTTCTCGAGACCCGCAATGGCAAAAGGACGGTCGGAGTAGCGGGTGAAGTCGAGACGAGAGTATTGCTTGTAAAGGCCTTGAAAGTAAGCAATCTTCCGTGCGCGGTTGGCTCGCATGGCCTTGTTCGGGAAATTTGGGTCACCAAGGAAATCGGCCATATTGCTAGGCTTAGGGTTAGTGATGATTGAACAAGCAATATGTCTTGTCATGACTTACTTATGCAGTTTGGCCAGGGTTTCGCATCGAACGCCTTGGCCGCACTCGAAGTATGTCTGGTTCTCCGTGAAGTAGATGGTCCGTCGTGCCAGCGCGCGCTCTTGCAACACCCAACCTCTCTTGTTCAAAGACCCCTCGATAACGTCTTTACTGAAGTTATCGATAGTCTTGCAGACGAAGAAGGGCTTTTCGTTGTCTCGCTGAATAGTGATATACTCACGCTGCGGCCGGGGATCAAGGAAGCCATCACGTTGATTGCTCGCTCGGCTTGCAGCGAGTACACAATATGCTCCACTAAAGACTGCCTCCATATTCTTAGACTCCTCGTTGAAGTCTCCGTGTTCACCTTGGATGATGCAGAGCGAATCTACCCACAAATAGCGGATGCCAATCTTCCGTGTGCAGTTGACGGCGTCATGAAAGGTTGCTGGGAGCTCGCTTTCGGGAATGGCTTCAAGATATTGCTCTAGGTTCTCTGGCAGAGTACAAAACGGTGTGTACTTCGTGGTGTCTCCCCAGGGATGCGACAGTGCGATGTACTGTTTGCTCGTGATGTGCTCTCGCTTCGTCTCGAGGAGGCGCAGCATAGGCGTACCGGTAGTGCCCACGTCGAGGAGTCTGGTCGGCAAGCTACGGGATAACGCCTCACATCCTGCGTGACTCGCATCGCAATCTTTGAGCCAAAGCTTTATAATGCTGAAGAACGCGTCTGATCCAGCTTCTGGGAGCTCTGGGAAGCCAATCTGGATTGGACACGGGAGATCCGTTTCTGGACTTCTGATCAGAGAAAGAACAGGATAGGAGTCGCCTGTCATGATGATATTTGACTGGTCTCGCTGGAATACCGCCCGGTCTCCTTTCGGCTCTTCGGCTTGGTTGTGAACTTCATACAACATTCTGCACAGATCGCATTCCGGCGCACGATCTTCCAATGTTGACACCCGCTCTTCGATGCTGAAACCGCCTTTTAGGAAATCTTGCGCCGAGCATGAGCCACAGAGTCGATGTTGGAAGCGTGTCTGTGGTATGAATTCTTGTATGCCGGTACTTGCGACGACTTTGTTAGCGAAGTTGTTATCGATCTGAAACTCCCAGTCTTTGAGAGGCGGAAGGGTGTAGTCAGCGCCGATAGGTTTACCAAGCACTCCACTTTTGAGTGACCCTGATGGCGGCAGGTTGTTCAACGGGAGATTGGCACTGTTGGGCGATAGCATTGGGGCCGTGAAGGTTGGCGTTCTGACGTTGGTGCGGTCTTTACCCGTGAACATATAACCGGACATATTCTGCTTCCTCAATATGACATCAAGTTCGTCCCGAAACTGCGCGGCCGTAGCTCGATAGCGTGTGATAGATTGCCCGAGTGCTGGAGGAAGCAGAGGCCGGCCACTCAGAGTCCCACTCTTCCTATTGGGCGGCAAGTTGACGACTAGTAGCATCTCGCGTACAATCCTGAGCAAGTCCTTCGTCGCCGAGACGCGCCCTGCTGCACATTCTGGATCCTTGTTCCGAATATGGTCCATCCACTTCAGGACAACAGGGTGAACTCTAGCACTTTCCGGTTCGCTCGCATCCAAGACTTCGTAATACTGACAAATTTGTTGTGCATTCCCCTCGATCTGTTTGTAGAAGTTGTTTAATTCGTCATTGCCATACAGGATCCAGATGATGAACTCGAACGTGATGCATCCCATCGACCAGATGTCGTAGAGTCGGGAGCGTGCGTTTTCACCAGTAACGGTTTCTGGCGCTTCGTACCGTCGGGTACCGTACCTGGTGCTTGTTGCCTTTCCTCGTTCTTGCGTCGCCACTACATGCCGCTTAGCCAAACCCATGTCTGCGATCTTCAGAGTCCCAAGGTCAGACTTAGATCCATTAGTAAGGAACCGTAGGATGTTCTCCGGCTTCAGATCGCCATGCCTAATAGACTCCGCATTTCCCGCGTTCTTGTAGTCGTCTACCTCATTGTCAAGCCCGTTGTCGCTACCGGCATCACTTCCGCCGCTCAGATGCGATTCCACAACGGCTGGGTCGTTCACTCGTATCGTCAAGCCATTGGCTCCGCTATCATGTTCTGGACGCCCGCCGTCAAAATTATGTAGTCGGTCCAAGGCGTCGACAATACCTCTGAGCTGAACGATGGTGTGTTCGATGATACAAGCGTTTGGAGCCTCTCGTGGCGTGTGGTCCCAAAAATCACGTAAGCTATCCCCATCAGCCCAGGGAAACATGAAGTAGCGGCTGTGACCTCTTCGTATAGCCGCTATGCATTTCACGATGTGGTCATGATTGAGCTTCCTAATAGCTTCAAGAGCAGTAGCTTCGAAATTCCATGCCCTGTCAGTTCCGGCAGCTTGTTCTCCTCCTTGCGGCACTTTCAGCTCCTTAAGAGCCACCTGTTCAGAGATTTAGCGGACTGAAGCAGGTCATATTACTGGCAACGCACCTGTTGTATCTCAGGATATTCATGGTGATCTTTGTGTATAGTGACTCGGTATACCGAACTGAAAGCGCCGTCCTTTGGAACTGCCCCATCTGAAGTGAATGGGAATATGCATTGCGCTTTCAGGTCGTAGCCGTACTTTCGTTGCACGAAGACTGGAGCTAAGCACTTCCACTGATTATCTCGAAAGTTAAGGATTTTGAGTTCACTCCAGACCTGCGAAGAGAACACATCTTGACTCGTCGGCTTGTCAACCACTGGTAAACTTTTGTCCGTAAAGCGACATTTTCGAAATATAGCCATAGCTAGCAGAAGGCGAGATGGATCGAAGTCGCATTGAATGGTGATAACAAACAGCTTTGGAGCCTTCTGACGGATCCATGTTGCAAGTTCAGACCGACGTCGGCGATCCCATTTAGCAGCGAACTCTTTTGAATATATCTCGATCTTGTCCAGCTCTTGTTCGATTGCTGCTTGGACGACGACCTCTTTGATCGCATTCTCTGGCAGGTACTGGCGGTCCGGGTCGTGGAACGTTGCTAATACACATCGTCCGAGTATAGTGCCGACTAGATCAGAATCTGATATCGCAGGCAAACTGAAGTCGTCTAGGTCATCGTCGCTCAATTCGTGCGCTAGAGGAGGTGCTTCAATGTGTTTCTCCTGGTTGTTGGCTAGGTTCTCGAGTCGGGTCGGTTGGACTGCGCGCGCTTTGGTTCCCCGCACCAGATAGCCAATGACGAAAATGGCCAAGACCAGGGCAAGTTGGGTAAGCATCGCGCTGGTACAATTCACGTGTGTCCCTTCAAGTTGGTCCTGGATATGCGCAAACGAAGTATGCTGATCTTCGGAAAGTTTGCTGGCTGGGACGAGATCGCGGTCTTCCAAGGTCAATCGTAGGGGTTGGCAAAGCCAGGTTTCACGGACACATGTAACACCTTATGGCATGCGATTAATCTGCAGAGCCGCCTGCAAGCTGAAGTCCGATTTGTGATGGATGTGCGCCACATTGCTAAGATGATCAAATCAGAGTACAAGCCTCGGGGTGTTGATGCCGTGGGTGACGCTCAGCCTTGTGAACGATGTTCAGCTCAGCTGCGAAAGACGGGAACATGGCCCGAAGCGTCGAAAGGACGCAGTTAATATTGGACCCCACAGGCGAGGTGCAGGTGGACCCCACCTGTTCCCTGAAGCGCATGAACGCCTACGTGGGAGAGGGCGAAAAAGCAATTATGCACACCGCTCGTAATCGCACACGCAGTGATCGACGGGCTCGTCGTCGTTGCATAGCCTCGCGACATGAACCGCGAATACCTGGATTCTCTCAGTACTTTGTCGAAGCCAGGATGATGTGCAGCTAGCTTAGACCGCTATAGCAAGGGAATTTAATGCGCAAAGCACCTCTAGATTAGCCCCAAGTCCCCAAAGCTTGCCTTGTAGGAAAAACTCTCGTTCGAAAATGCGGCTCATAGCCTGCTTCTTGCTCATCGACCGGCCCAGCACAACGATGCTCTCAATCAATTCATTCAAGGTTACGCGACCAAAGGAGACTTGAGTCTGGGTATTCGGCTCAAGCGTCTCCTTCTCGATGCGATCGGTTGTACTGCTGGAGCTTCTGACCTTGGACTTGGTGGATCGTCTTGTATGGCCTCCTCCAATGCTGACGTTACATATTGCTGAACAGAGGAATCAGTACGCCTCATGTTGCACCAGGGGTTGCTCATCGTCGCATAATCCGCATTGCGACGACACCTGTCGTACAGCGCGTCTAGCGATTGCCACACATATATGCAAGACTTGCGCTCCATCGAGTCAATTACCAGCATGTCAAACTGAATCAAATTCAGTACATCGTGCAGGTAAAGGGTACAGTTTGGGTGTCGATGTAGCTCATCGATGAACTATTTCATGTTGTTAGCGGTGTGCCATGTCGTCGAAGAATGTAACCTACGGCAGTGACTCTCGGATTGACCTTGGCTCGTATTCCAGGAAGTTCAGGGTCCTTCTCCACTTCATAGAATGTATCAATAGTCGTAAATCGAAGAAAGTAGTCGGTCATTGACCTTGACCGCTTGAATCTTTTCACGAGCTCACGGCCCCCTAGCAACCACGTTACGAACTCAAGGTAAACGCAGCCCAAACACCAGATATCGTAAGACTGCCGCATGTACGCGTCAGGCAAATCGCATTCGGGGGGTCGGTATGTCATCGTGTTGGGCCTTTCTCGACGATCAGTCTTGCTTTGCAATGAATGTATCTCTGCTTGTCCGAAGTCGGTGATTTTGAGCGTCCCCTGCAATGTGCAACCATCGTCGCCGCTATCGCCGTCGTCATACCAAAGGATATTGCTGGGATTGATGTCCCCATGGCGGCCGTATACTTTCTTTCGTGCATTGCTAGAGTCGTTGAGTTGATGGCCAAGCGACGGCAGGCTGTGATCGCCAAATTCGTAGTGGGAATTGAGTGGGCTCGTCGGACGCTCTTTTACACCATTTGAAAGCATCGACGAGCCCGTGTCGACCCGATCAATCATCGGCGCAAATCTCACACTCTTCACCAACGAAGTTGAAATACTCTCGTTCATGTCTGCAATATGTTAACCCAATAAACGGCACTGTCAAGCGAAGCAATGCCCACAAAGTGGCAACAAAGCAGTTGTCTTCGGCTCTTTGGCTTCTATCGAAGTGACGTACCGTATGAGTATTCTGATTGCTCTTCCTCGATCTTGAGCTGAGGTTTGGTGAACGATAGTAGCTTGTGAAGTTTCGACAGGCCCTCGACAAGCCCGCTACACTGCTTGGCAAACCAGTTGACATTGTTGTGATGGAGGACCGGAAATGGTTTGAGCTTCTTCCAATAGTCGAATAGATCGCCTTCCGCGCGGTAGAAGATCAGATTGAATCTGTTGAACTGTTCATACGTTGCAAGCAAGGAGACTATGTGTGGATGACTTCGCCCGCCACTGAACTTCATCAGTATCTCTATCTCTCTCTTATAAGCGTCGCGATTTTCGTCGTGAACTTGTTGTTTGACGGCGAAACCGCGCTCGCAAAGCCGCTTGTCGCTGAAATTGTGGTGATCGGAGGGTATCTTAACCATGATTACTTTCCCGTAGCCACCAGTCTTGTCAATAGACTGACTCAAGGCATTGCCCGGGGTGAGGAAAGGGAGGATGTGCTGGTCTTGGAGTTTGTAGTTCTTTACTACTCCGTCGTCGTCGGGTGGCGAGAAGTATGTCGCAAGTAGCCACCACTGATAGCGTTGGAAGTTCTCAAGCTTCAAGGGTGACCACTCCTTGAAGCAACCACGAGGAACACAGATTTGACCGCCTTTACGATACAGTTCGCCGGTTTCGTCATGTTTCACGAGGGGTAGATCTTGATCCGTGACTCCCTCTCTCACGAAGTCCACGATCGAAGAAACAGCTTCGATTAGCACCAAGAGTGCAAATATTTTGCGGAACGTCGTGATTTTGGTGGTTCCCTTTTGCCTTTCATCCTCACTTTCTGTGCACACCATCCTTGCGTAGGACTGTATTTCTTCGGATGAAAGTCGCACCGTGGATTGCGTCGCAGTCCTAGTTAGTTCTCGCGTTACAGCGTCAACCGTTATCACATGACGCAATTTGGCCTTGGGAATGAATGTCTCGATCTGACCCTCGTTGTCTCGTGTACTCAGACGCGCATCCATGATCTCCTGTTGTAGCTCATATCTATCGCCTAGGGGTGGCAACGAGGCTAATGACTGCGCTAGGTCCTCGTCGAATGAGACTTCTGGGGGCGAAAGATTGCGTTCTTCACGCAATTGCTGCTGATCACCAGCGTCTGAGATATTTGTGACGCTTAGTTTCGGTGAGATCAAAAGGTTCCGACAAGCCGGAGGACCTAGTGACGACGTGTAGGCGCGCACAGGATCCCACGACAGCTCTGAGAACGACCGGGAATGGCCGAGTGAGGTAGGCTGAAGGGACTCTGATCAGAAAAGCTCAGCTATAGTCTCTCATGATGAAGCATACCTCGTCACTTTCCCATTGTGCATCCTCTGCTCCAGCTTCTGTGTCATGGCCGGGCAAGGAAACCCCTGTTGGATGGTGATCAATCCATGTTATGGATGAGGCTGGTGAGCCACGATACTGCGCAGTCGGCCACGCGATTCTTTCTGCGTGTGAGTCGATGGCATGCGAGTCACAATCTGGTGATTGTGACTTACGCAAGGACCGGGGGCTGTCGTCATCATGTACGCTACCGTCCGATGACCTATGGAAAGAGTCACGACGTGGCGCGGTGTATGAGACTATTGAATGCTGATTTGGTCTAAGACCATCGTCGCTCAGGTAGTGAGCGCTTGAATCGAGTCGATTGGCAGGTGGTGGCGAGATGTGCCCAGATCCCAGAACCGGAAGCCGCGAACCAGGTACCAACACGTCAGACACCGACTGATTTGGTATGGATACTCCCTCTCTTGCTTCATTCGGCGGTTGCAAGTTGTGGGTTTCGGGTTGAGCCGTACGTTGTTCTGTGCCCCGTAGGCTTAGAGGGGCGGGGCCTTTGACCGGACTCCGACGCGCCTTGTTTGGCGGGGCATCTGCCCTGAACACGCGCATATCGAATGAGGGAGGCATTGTCCACTGCACAAAGACAACTGTCTGAGTTTCGAGACAGCCCCTAGGGCGTATCGCATTGTTATAAGGGATGCCTCATGGAGGACCTTGAGCCGCACAAGGCTGAGCGGTCAGTCCTTTGTGATAATCGCCCTTCTTCGAGTCCAATGCCTGAGGTTGTAAGATGTGGCTGCCTCACTGCCGACCTATCTTAGCCGGATGCAATTGATTGGTTCCACAATGTCTCAGCCGGTGAGCTGTTTGGGATGACATCCCGAAGTGCATGGCGCAGCACTGGCGGACTGACGTTCGCTGCCTATGAGAGCTCGTTGAAGTTTGTGGGCACATGCACAGCCGCAGCTGAATTAAGGTAATGCACGCGCCCTTCAGCCTGCTCGCAACCTCACGACATGTGTGTAAATACCCTGGTGACGTCCTTCGCGAGGTGGAGAAGAAAAAGACAACAGCTTCCTTCAAGACTCCTCTCTTACCACTGAAAAGAGTATCAAAGCGACATCAATGTCAACATCCAAACCAATCGCATACGTGAAGGTATCAAGGCCTTCGATAAGAGATTACGACGAGGACGATGACCTGTCGGACCTTGAAGATGCGCAATCGATATCGGGGAGTAACATCGACCCTGCGAAGTTGGCAGCACTTCTGAGGATCAAATTCGGGGCAGGAACCTATGATATACATGTGAGTAGGACTCATCTCGCGGGATTTGTAAACCTTGTGATCAAGAACTGACGAGCATCGTAGATAATGCAGAACTCTTACTGTATCATCGCGCCGCGAAAACTTTCAACCGTAAGTCAAGAATCTGGCTAGAAACAGTCCGGTATCTAACGCGCAACAGGGAGAGATAGCTAGATGCCAAAGAAGAAGATGAGGACGATGAGTGGCTGCCTAAGCGTCTCGTAGACGTGAGAGCCGCTCGCCGGTTCAGGTAAATGGGAGAGTAAAGCCCGGTAGGACGCACGGAACGTGCCATGATGACGGAAACGCGGGCATTCCGACAGGGAGGTGTGAGAACTCCGGATGACGCTCATGGCGATTCGTGTCTTGCAGCCTCGTGTCGACGAACGTTTGGGGGGAAAACATCATAGTTTGCCGGAAAGCGTATCAATAGATCCTTCCACTTTCGGACCTTTTGACCAAGCCGCTAGGACCATCATGATGCCACCTGGGCACCTTCCTGCCCATGTGCATGACTCAATTGGTGAACACGTGATCACGTTTCGGCCTGAGGAGAAAACACCCTTTGTCAATGGCTGCATCTGTCATGTTATGTATGCCTTTGATCCGGATCGACTATGAGTGCCACGGCGGCATTTCGCGTCGCGCCGGGATCTCCACATATTTCAACGGTCATCCACGTTGATGATGCGTGTATGTATAGCGATCAACGGCGCTACCTAAATATAATATTGGCTTTCCTTTCGTCTGAGCTGACACCAAACGGACACGAGAACAAGGCTGAGGCGCTGCATGCACCGCCCACTTTATACGGCCAGCTTCTCAAAGACCCCGGCCGAGAGTCATCCCCAGATCTGGCCGGCGCTTCGGGTATCGAGTTTGCAACGGCGATGGATACAGCACACAACCCCAAGACCTGTAAATTTCCCGTGCCGATCCCTCTGAAATGATGCGCAAACCGGGCGAAACTGTGATAGGTTTTAAAACTGGCGCCAGGTTGCAAGCGCCGATCTCCCGCGCCAGTGTCTCACATAGCAACGTCTGGCGCGTCGCCATTGGCCGGAGCTTGGATTACGCGGATGTGGCTATGCCGGTTTCACTGCGAAGCTTGATACATCACTCCCCTTTCCTGCTGCGCGCCACCAACACCCACTGCAACCGCACCGCCGACCTACTTTTGCCCAGCGTTCCTTCTCACCACCTGCGCTCCCCATACGTCGTTGGGCGATAGCGATAACGCATTCTCACGACCTCACTTTCGTTTTGCGCTTGGACCCGGGACGCGCAGCAGTCACGCCCCAACCTGGCCTCCTAACACGGCGACTCCTCCGCGGGAACCCGCCAGCACATTTTAACCCTCCGCGATGTGGTTCCGCAAACGTGAAAGCGACATTGAAATGTCGGGCATGATGGACGGAGCACCGAAGAAAAAGAAGTCGCAAGGCCCGCCAGAAGAAACAGAGTACCAGAAGTTTGACTGGAAAAGATTCTTTCTCGCCCCCAAGTACATCCGTAAGACCACGCCGCCGCCCATGCGACCACGGAATATTTTTGGCTGACTCAGCATATAGCATGGCACATATTGTTCATCGTTATCGGTATCTTGACCGTTATCATCACGATAAAACACGACGCCGTCGTTGAGGTGAGTCTTCGGTGTTTTGCCTTGGGGCCGACGAACACGTGGCTAACGGTGTCTGTGCAGAAATTACGGCCGTGGTCCGAGAAAGTGCGAGACCTGCCAGCAGGATGGCTAATTCCCATTGCTATTCTTATCATTATTTCTTTCCCTCCTTTATTCGGCCATGAAATCATTGCGCTGCTGTGTGGTGTCGTCTATGGCCTGTGGATCGGGTTCGCCATTGTTGCAGCAGGCACATTCATTGGCGAAGGTAAGCCTTACCATATCATTACAGCTCCATGCAATGCATACTAACATCCCAATCAGTCGGGACATGGTACGCTTTCAAATACGCCTTCCGCTCCAAGGCTCTCAAACTGGAGCGCACCAATCTAAACTACGGCGCCATGGCCCGTCTAACGCGTGACGGTGGTTTTACCATCGTGCTCGTCATCCGTTTGTCCGCCATTCCAGCGCATTTTTCCACCGCCGTATTCTCTACCTGCGACGTCAAGTTCTGGCATTTCGTCGTCGCTACTTTCCTTTCTCTGCCCAAGCAAATTTTCCTCGTCTACCTCGGTGTACTGCTCCTACAGGAGAGCAACGACGACGTAATCAAGACGGTCATGTTCGGCGCTATCTTTGTCATCACTATTGCCATGGGTATCTGGATCTACATGAAGATGCGCGTGGTGAAGAAGACACTCTTGGAGGAGCAAGAGCTCAGAAGGGTCAAGAAGGCCGAAGCCGTCGAGCTGGTACCAAATGTTGAACGTGCGTTCGATACGCAATACGACGAGGGGCCTCCGATCTGGTCATCTATGCAACCAACGCAAGTCAACCGACCAACAGAGAGGAGATATGACGAGGACCCTCCGGAGTGGGCCATGCAGCCTACGCAACCCACCAGAATGCTCTGAGCGTAATTGCTGATTGTATCATACATAGACTGTTATATTCTTAATGCCATAATGAAGTTATGACCCGCATGGGTTTAGTATGCACAAGACACTCAAGGTCAGATCTGACAGTCACTTTGGCCTGCTAACCCCACTCCTAGGTGGTATATCGAAACCACGGCACGTTATCGGCAAGCTCCCGCTCCAACGACTTCTGCTCCTCGGTCAACTCCTGCGCCCCAGCTTCCAACGCAATCTTATCGCGTCTCGCGTTCTCCATCCGACACCACGTCGACATGAAAAACGTCAGGAAGAACGCCATGCTACCACACGTTAGCTCCGCATCACCGACATCATGCGATCTTACGATAACTCACCTAACGAATCCGATCAAGATGCTATGCCCAACGACAAACCTAGGCCCATCACGCGACAAATAGACATAACTCGCAATGATACCTCCACAGTTACCGCCCATGACCTGCATAGCAATGCCCGTCCCCCTCTTCAAACTCCCCCCAATATTCCCACTATTCCACGCCATCCCCAGCGGAATCTGCGGATAAATCCCAATAGCCGCAAGCACCGTGCCCGCATACTGTATACTGGGCCTCCCCGTCGCAGCAAGCATAGCAAAGCCCGCAATCGCCACGACCTGGAAGCCCATCAAGAAAACACCACGTTTCTTCACGCGATCAGCATACCAGCTCGCAGCGATGGTGAAGAAGCACGCGCAGACGTATGGCGGGACGGACATGAGTTGCGCGTCGTTGGCAGTGTAGCCCATGTTCTTGATGATCGTCGGGAGGAACAGGGCGAAAGAGTAGATGGGACAGAAGCCCGCCATGCAGATTAGCATGAACATGTATATCTTCCAGTCTGTGAGGGCTTGGTAGACGTATTTCATATCGAAGTCGTTGGAAAGGTGGCCATGGTCTGCGTGGAGGCGGCGTTGGACTTCTGTGCGTTCTTTGGGGGTGAGGAAGCGGGCGCTGCGTGGGTGTTAGATGAGGTGGTGGCGAGGAAAGGGGTGGGGACGGACGTTTCTGGGTAGTCGTATATACACCAGTATGCTATTGTTGAGACGAGGATGCTGAGGAGGCCTTCTAGGATGAAGATCCTTTAGTCGTGTTAGTGGGTAGACTCTTTGATCTTTTTGTAAGTGATGATGTTACCATGCCCACGCGGCTTTTCCACCAACGCCGGACATCTCGGCGATGCCGCGGGCTAGGATGCCGCC